AATAGAGAGAGAGAGAGAGAGAGAGAGTAAATAAAAAGACAAATTAAAGAAATAGGATAAACCCTGCATTGAACTCAAATCATAACCAGCAATCCCCAAATATCAACTTACAGGAAAATGTAGCTATCAGAATTGGGTATAAATCTCTTGAATATTTCTGTTTCTGATAAGTAGGAAATAAACTTTGGTATTAGCAACAAAGTTCATAACCATTGTATACTTAAATGCAAGGAACTTCACCTTCTTCTATTTTTTCCAGCTTTATGAAACTTAGCATCCATTTCCTAAATCTATGATGCATGAAAACCTCTGATGAATGAATATTTTTACAAACATATCAAGTCTGAAATGAAGGTCTTAGTACTTCAGTAGCACCATAATATATTATTTACTTGAATGTGCTGATTTGTAATGTTTGTTCAAGCATCTACAAGCAGACCTGAGTGTTATCAATCCAACGTCTTCAAGTGCACTTAAATGCTATACAAGGCCCTAAGAAGTTTGAATATTAAAATTCCACATGAGGTGGTAATTTACCTATTTTTTGCACATTTGGTCATTGCAGAGGACAATTCACATGGCTTGCAGAATCTCCCAACTAATCCATTGACTACGCTATCAAATTCAACATCATAATGTCTATCAAATTCAAGCTCATTGTAATAACTAAGTCATAACTAAGTGGCATACACTCCATTGTAATTCCTTTACAAGAGCTTCCTAAATGATTTACTTGTTTTAAATGAAATGGTAAGGAAAATATTTTAATGGATACTCCATCAAACCTAGATGCAATAACTAAGTCCTAACTAGGTGGTATACACTCCATTGTAATCCCTTTACAAGAGCTTTCTGAGTGATTTACTTGTTTCAAATGAAATAGTTACTTCTTTTTTTTTGATGAGGTTAACCTTAAATTGGAAATGAAATACTTTACTTATAAGGGAGATTATATAATAAGACCATTTTACCTTTGTTACAAAAAAGTCACAACCACCCCTAGTTGTCAGTTGTTAAATCATGCATCTAGGGTTTTTCCACTAAACATCCTCAGAGTCCAAGAATATTTTCTGGTATTTGTGCGGAAATATGACACACCCCCAATGGCTTGATTTCACATTTGACAGCTATGGATAAACGTGACCTTTTTGATCAAAAGTACGCAGTCTTATAGTATACATTCTGGCAAGTGTTGACAACAATAATTCGCAAATGTTCATTCACCAAAATCACAAAAGACTTTTCCTATCCATGGAAAACAATTTCCTTAAAATTTCAAGATAACCCCTTTGGAATACTTGTCCTTCACTCAGGTCAAGTTTGATTTAAATAGTTAACTTACTCTAGAGATGAATCTATAGCTCGAGAAAATAACATGTTCGATATTGTAGCCCCATGCAATAATAAATACAAAATGTTTGTTCTCATTGGATCCTTGGCATTACAAAGTTAGGTCGCATTCAGATGGGGTTCTATTCATCACACGAGACTTTTCCTAGGTTCCAGAGGTCATCACAAGTGCATGGCAACGATTATTCATGAGAAAGTTGGTTTTTTATTGTATTACAAGCAAATTATTGTAAACATCCTCTTGAGTTTTACATTGGAAAACATTTTAACACTACAATATAAGTATATGTCTGAACTGGAGATTCCCACACAAACTAAAAATGGCTATTTGTGGCATCAAGCAAGCCCTCTGTGTAGGATGTGATCAGTTTAAAATTATCTTGCATTATCATGTCTAATATCAATGCTTGAATGGTAATTCATCATTCAGTCATTACACATCTCACCAAAATGCAGTGGCATATATCAGTAGCGAAATTCTCATAAAAAAAATGTTAGTATATCATCAAAGAACTTCCTCAAGATGGAATACGTAAAACTAATATCAATATGAAACACTCAGAATATTTTTACTGTTATTTAAATAACAAAGATGAGGAGGATTGCACTACCGACAATATCTGTGCTAGAGACACCCTCTGTGCGCTTGATTTGCTTGTACCGCCCAGCCTTCTTTGCCAGAGCATAAGCATCAGTTCCATCCGGAAGCAAGCAAGGATCATCTCCATGTATAATGTAGTCAATTTTATATTCATCAAATAGACTGTTCATAAAATTCTCGGTGATGGCATAAGGAGCATTGGCTATGACCTCATCCACCCATTTCAACCCACTTACCATCACCATCCTGAAAATTTAATAAAAAACCCAAATTGCATTTGCTAGGCCAGACAAAAAAAGTAATCGATAGAAATAAAAAATAAAAAAATTTCGGTTTTCTAAATCAGATGCACATTAGCACAAAGGCTTTCGCGCTAGGTTAGCCGTTGCTTCTTGCAAGAAAATCGATGCACATTAGCACAACGGCTTTCGCTCTAGGCTAGTCGTTGCTTCTTGCAAGAAAACGGATGCGTGTAACATTAGTCTAAAGTAAAGAAGAGAATTAGAAAAAGAAAATAATATCAAAACCACGAAATTCAAATCCATAAGAAAAAAAAAATCATAAATTCTGCAAGCAGAAAATCAATTCCCTTTTCAAATACACGAAGTTCTATTATAAAAGCAGAAAGTCAAGTGCCACACGAGTACTACGCATGAAGTGGCAGTTTGAAAAGGCGAAAAATAGAAAAAACAAACCAAGTCCCCCATTTCCGTGAACTTCATCACATATCATCAGTGGTGGTCAGTCATGACAGAAACCAAACACTACGCATATTTTGTCCAAAACGATACTCTCATTTAAAAACCACTAATCCTCAGAAGAAAAAACCAATAAAAAAGAATAAAAATTCAAAACACTTAGGATAATGAAAATGCAACCATAGGCCACTGTTAACCTTAATTCCACCATTTCAGTGACAACTAAAACCATCAATGTCGATCACAATTTTATCATTAGCCCTAAAATTCAAATTAACAATCAAATTCATAAATTACTTACAGAAAGAAGAATTCTCCAAAAAATAAGAAAAACACGACACACATTTATAATAAAATAAGTATAAATTCCCACAATCACAACCCAAATCATGTCATTTTATCCACAACCAACAATGAAAGAGGTCCTTTTCAGTTAATTTCTCCATATGTTCCTCAAAAAAACAAAAAATCGTATTACCTCTCCTCCATGGATAAAACTGGAGGCCCCTTATTCTTGATAATTTCTTCATCGCTCACCATTCCCACCACCAGTTCATCACCCAAAGCCCTAGCCTGCCTTAGTGCATTTGCATGGCCATAATGCATGAGATCAAAACAACCATCCATATAAACCCTAACTTTTTTTTTCATACATTTCTTCTTCTGAAAAATTCCGAAATCCGGCAACGAATACGGGAACCCTGGAACCCCAATGGATCCAAAATAACCAGTAGATAGCCCAAAAATGGCAACTGTAAGCATTAAACCGCCAAATAAATGGGGATAACAAACACCATCCCAGATCCAATGGTTGCTTTCCCATTCCATAGAGCCCATTCTTTTCTACGGTTTTCTTTCTTCACTTTCCCCACCAACTGGAGATATGCTTGTCGCTTCACAAAAATTTGCACCAAATTCAGAAATGGCTAATACAAAATTAACTAGAATCAGAGAAAAATGTAGGGTAAAAAAAGCAGTGGAATCATCATCAGATGGCATTCACCATGTTAGAAAAACAAAATGCAAGAAAGAGAGAAAAAAGTTGGGATTTTGTAGAAATTGCAGAATCAGAGACAAAACCAAAAGGAATCCATTGCTAAATAGAAAAATGCAATAGAATTGCAGAAAAACAACATATGGGTTGTGATTCTAGATCAAAAAATTCATTGCTGTATAGATAAATGCAATCAAATTACAGAAAAACAATACGGTTATGATTGTAGGCCATTTTTATTACCTGATTCCCTTGTTTTTTTCCCTTTTTCTGCCTTTTTCAAATGGAGCTATAAGGAAATTCAGCTGCATATCTCCATATGAAATGGACGAAAGAGAACGTGGAAGGAGAATCCAATAAGGGTTGCTGTCAGATTTCGTGTTGTGAGATATGAGCGGGTTTTAATTCACCTCTGAATTTTTTAGGGTTTCGTGTTAGAGAGAGAAAGTCGAGGCGAGGAGCATTCTTCCAATCAAATCGCGTTTTCTTAAAGCCACACGTGGCGCGTGAGGGATGGCAAGAATATCTGACATGGCCTTTATTTGACATGGTGTGGAAGTCTATGTAGACCTACACGTGGGTAATGAGCATCTTCCTCATACCCCACCTACCCCTCTCTCTCTCTCTCTCTCTCTACCCTCTGCTACATAAGTTGATTTCTGGCTTAAATTTCCACTCGGACCGAGTAATTTGTCCTCACCCGAGCCGATCTCAAGCAATCGGTTTATTAGTGTTGATTAATAAAAATATAAAAACAATTTAAAAAAATAAATAATGTTTTAATTAAGATTAAGCAAACCTCTTCAAAATGATGTTTAAAAAGTAGTAAAAAGTATATTTAAAAAATTCAATTTGTGACTTGGAGGTGTTTTTAAAAAGTAATAAAAAAGATGAAAAAATATAAACAATAAGTATTTACGGCCAAAACATTTCTCAATATTTTTCAAATCGACAAAAAATATAAAAATATCTCAAATAAATTTTTTACTTTTTTAGATTTTTGTTTTATCTTTTTTAATATCTTCGAGTTAGACACCGAACTCAGAGGGCCCGAGCCCGAATAACTCGGCCGATTTTACGAACACCCATATAGGCTAATTGTGGAGAGAGAGAGAGAGATGCGCCGAGTAAATAATCTGCCTAGCTTGTGTTAATGATCACACATAAAGAAAAAAAAGAAAAAAAGAGATAGTGCTGCCCAGTGTATAATTGCAGTGAAAAAATTTATTATGCACAGACATCTGCATGGTGTATAATGGTAAGCTAATGTTCGAAAAATCGACCAAGTTACTTGGGCTTGAGTCCTTGCCGAGGCCGAGTTACTTGGGCTTGGGCTCTTGCCGAGGCCGAGTTGGGTTTCCAATTCGGGAATATTAAAAAGGGTTATGTGAGGGTGCTCACATTATAGAGCATTTATAATTATACTCAACAAATTAAAATGTTTATATATATTTATTTTGTAATATATATATATTTTTTTTTTAAGTAACAGTACTTTTTTATTGAAAATAATTGTTTTAGTAATAATAATAGTAATTTTGGTCAATAGAAGAGGTATGACAACACCCACATAGAGCAGCAAATGCTACTAGTGTTGATGATATCACACCTTATGTATGACTAAAAATACTCATACTAAAAAATTGCTCAATCTACTTAAAAAAAAAAAATCCAAAATTTATTGAATATAATTATAAAATACTATGCAGTCACCCTAACCTAACTCTTATTTATATGCTTGATTATCACTCTCTTCACTGTAGCTACAAAAGTAGCTTCGTACTAAACTTAGACACTAACGCAGATCTTTCTCTCTCATGTGACATAAATTGGTCTCTTGATTACATTAGAAGGGTGCGGTTGTATAGAGCTTAGGCTCTAAACAATCAAATTAGATCTTACTTTCAAATAGTATCGAGAAATGTGGTTTCAATACTGGAAATCTTTGTGATAGCTTTAAAATATATTTTCATATTTATTTATAAAAAAACTTGAAATCCAATTTTTTTCTCATATTCATGCATCTTGATGTCAAGATGATCAATTTGAAGATATTTGAGCATCAAAACAATCTCTAGGGAAATTTTTGAGGTAGTCTTTGATTGTTTGGTGTCTAGGCTTTGTATAAACTTTTCCCATATCGGATGCGATTAGAAAGATCTATCTTTCTCTCTCTACCCCTATGCTATATAAATTGGTTTTCTTGCCAGTATTATTCACTTGGAATCCTCGCTCTTTCTCTCTTAAAATAATTTGTTGAGACTTGGCTCTTCCTTATTCTAAAACTAAACATAAATAAGCATATTTTGATTTTTTATGGAAAGAGAGAATTTTAAGATGGTTGTTTTTTTCTGTAAATCTAGAGCGAGAAAGGGTCCATGTGTATAAAAAATGCAGCATGTGAATTCCGTATGGCACAATGCTGCCTTTTTCATGGAGCAGGTGCCCCGCCTTCCCTCCTTTTGGCAATGACTTATATGCCGTGTGGAAAGCTCGCCTCATATCGTTATTTACAAGGGATTCCATATGTACAAAGTTCATCTCACATTGTACTGGACGCTAGGTTTTAGGAACCCGATCGGCCGGGTGACCGGCCGGTTAGTGGGCTGATCTAGATTAATGATTTTTCCATTCAATATAAAAAAAATATTAAAATATTATTTTATATGATAAAACAATTAAAAGATGAGAAACATTCAAAAACTAAGTTTGAACGATTGGGCTCTAAATCCTTGACAGACTTGCCTGGTTCTTTGACAAATATGCTCGGTTGGACAAAATGAGACGAGTCCTGCCAAATTGGATTTCTTATTCTAGTATAGAACTAGGTTGGTCCCCTGCCGATTCTGATCCAGGTCCACGATTCTTGATTCCCATGGGTTTAGATCGTAAACCAAGCAGGTAGACTACAAACGGCCTGTTGTCAAATCACATGTGCGTAGAATTATCTAACATCTCATTCATATTTTTATCGATTTTCACCTTTTTTAGCAATGTGAAATAGCTTAAACCTTTATCTAATCACAACCTCTCAAGTGTAAAATTAAAGTGCACTTCAAAAATAAAATATCCATGGAAAAAGACTGTTAGATGTTGGAAGACCATTTTATTGGCCATATCGATGTTAAGATATATGATTTTGAAAAAAAAATTTAAGTCGAAAAATAGTATTTTTTGTGATACATTATCCGGACTGTCAATTTAAGATTTTCATGCATTTTTAGATCTGCTTGATTTAAATATTATCTGAACATTTTTATAAGAGATTCTCTATCCATCCTAAGAATTTTGAACACCAAAATCACATCTTATGAAAAAATTTGGAGGTCCACTTACTTTAATTGTTTAAAGTTACAACCTTATACAAACTATACGTATTAGGAAATGCATCATGAAACCTTTTCTAGTCGAGAGAGAGACATCACGAGACCTCTTCTACATGCAAGAGAGAGAGACATAAAAGGGATTGTATACAATGAGACCATTTACTTTTGATATAAGGTGGTCATAATTACATACAACCATCTGATGTGAAATTTGATAGCTTGGATGTGTCACAAAGTAACGAGAAAATTTCTTTTGAAGTTTGAATTGGTCAATGAAATAATTGCAGCCATCTAATGATCAAGATTAATATTTCACCTTATACCAAAGGTAAATGATCTCATTCTATACTTTACCAATATGAAATGCAGTACTAGAGAGAGAGAGTTACGAAATACATTGCTAGAGAGGGAGATACTGATTTGTAAATTTACAGAAAAGTCGTACACGGATTCACAAAAATAGAAGTTATTTCCCTAAGTGTTGCAATGTGGACAACAGGTGGTAATAGAAAACTTGTATTGCATAGATATAAGCGACTTGTTTCTAAAGTCATTCCATTAATTTCAACTCATTGGATTGCATGGTCTTGGGAAAAATCAATCCTTAGTATCGAAGTATTGAAACTTTTATTCATTTTTTATTGAATTCTAAAAACTCCCATGGAGACTTGTAGTCTTGGAAGGGCGGTTAGGACAGGTAGAATGCTAAATTGGAAGTGGTAGTTGGGACAGGTAGAATGGCCATAACCTTAGATGTTGTGTGATTATTTACTAATTCATTTATCTGAAATATAATGTTTTATTATTATTATTATTATTATTATTATTATTATTGTCATTATTATTGGTCAGTATGCCTGCGGTTGTTAGGAAGGTCTTATGCTGCCTGAAAGTCAGTATTTCGGCAATTTATGTAGGAAAGTGTTTTATCTAAGTGTTCACCTCAATAAAAAATATGGCGCACCAAGAAAAACCCTAGGAAAAATTGTCCTGAAAACTTTCAAATTGACTGTCTCAATCTTGATATGTATGAATATAAAAAAAACAAAAGGGTTTCAAATCCTAAAAACAGTATATCTTGTAACACTTTTATTTTGTGTTGTTTTAATTTTGTTATGTTAACTTGTAATAAGGTGGGATATGTTGAAGCATCAACCCCCCTAACGACCGATGCCCTAACGCCATCCCCTATCTTTTAGCGCATTATTGGACCATTTATTTTCAAGAGTTTTAAATGTTTGTAGGTTTGCAATTCAGTGTTATTCTTTAAACTTTAAATTTCATAGTTAGGCGGAAAATTAGTTTTTTTAGACTGTTTTAGGTGTTTTAGGGGTTTCTGGCGCTAGAACTAGATCTTTCAAGAAGGATTGAAGGTGCACATTGCTTTGGTTATTTAACACAGACAACTTAAGTAAACTATATATATATATATATAAGGGTATGGTTTTCATAAGATTGCAACCTTAAACAATTAAGGTGTGCCTTCAAATTTTATTGATGTAGAATATTCTTAGAATTATCTCATAATCCATTTTTATATCTAATTATAGAATTTTAAACTCCAAAAATAGTTAAAATCAAGTAGATCTATAACTTGAAAATGGATGGTCTAAATAAGAGTTGTAAGATGTATTATTTCTGAAACTCAAAATCTTTTTATTTGTCATAACCATACATCTCTATGTCGAGATGATTAACCAGAAGGTTTTTCAACATTAAAACAACATGTACCCATGGATTTTTGAGATGCAACCATGGCTCATCATTTTAAGGTTGCAACCTTATATAAACTTTTTCCATTTATATATGCTACATGTATCATCAATTCCGAAGAACCTTTGACAACACAACCAATGGTTTTCGCATATGAGATCCCTTGTGCTGCTCGGACGAGTACAACATAATTAATGATGTTCTGAGTTTATTATAGGACAACAAACTCAAAAAATTCACTCGCAGTGAGATCCCTTGTGCTGCTCGGACGAGGACAACATAATTAATGATTTTTTGAGTTTATTATACGACAACAAACTCAAAAAATTCACAGGCATGTTATTGTCCCTAAGGTATCATTTTTGACAATTTTTTGGTTTTGTTTTTCTTTGTAATATGGTGAAAATGGAGGGTGGGACGTTATTTTGTCTTCCCCTTTTAGGGATTATAAGGCTAGGCTTAGGAGTGTCGAGTGCGCTCGTCCAAAATCCATCAGGATCTAGGAAGCAATTATTGTAGTGCATTCACCCTTTCCAAACATCTGAAATCTCTTAGTTATCTTTTGAGGGGAATTTTTTTTTTCCCACAATTTCATCAAAGTTTAAGACACCTTTTTAATTTAACCAACCAATTTCTTTATACCCCAAATCAAAAAGTTCGGCCAAATGAGCCCACTAAAATGAATCAAAATCTGAAGCCTTCAACAATCCATCTAATTTTTTGAAGCATCATAGGTCAGATGCAAGTTCGAGATATCGAAAAGCACATTTGGTTCCGAAAACAAAATAATGGTCCATTGAAAACCCAAGCTTTATACCAACTTAGAATTTGTTATACCTCTTGCTAAGAGAAGCTTTCAAACCAGGTGAATTTTCAATTACTTGAACTATAAAAGAAAAATCAACCATTATATGAAGTGAGGTACATGTGATTCAAAACCAAAGGTCCAGATGGGCTCTCTAACATTATTCTCTCGGGGTATTTAATGAGAAATAGGAGAAAAAAAAAGCACAAATCGAAAAATAAGCAGCAGGAGGACTGGACTCCTCAATCCCGCACCACTCACAAGATATGGATTAGGTAGCAGCTAAACTACATGACAGGACATCTTCATAGAAAAATCTGCCCCAATGGTTAAGGCCTTCATTTTAATAGTAAAAAGAAAGCAGAATCTATTTCTACAAAATCATAGAAAAACTGGAGCCATGACTAATGTTATGGTTGCAAGCATTTTGATCAGCACATGAATTGAGGGCCCTGCTGTATCCTTGAATGGATCTCCAACTCTGCATTAGTGGCAAGAAAGTATTCGAAAGGATACAAAATCAAACGTGAAAATTATGAAAATCAATTATAGCATTTGCTTGGATCTCAAAATAAATTATAACATTACCTTGCAGCTCTTTTTCTTTAGGACATAGAAACTGATGTATATCGCTATTTTGCAAGTGGATTTTTTTCTTGAGAGACCACAAATCTTTAAATCACAAAATGCATTTGACTATTTTTTAGGACTCCATAAAAGACTGGTTGTTTTTGAAATCGAGTGCTTTCTAAATAAGAAAAAAATGCCACCTGAACAAAACTATATAATAATGGCATCATATGACTTGAGCATCTATATCCTTGACAATATTTTGGGAATTATATTAGTGTGCTTGGGGCATCAAATTCCCATTTCTAATGTCCGGATGTCCAAAGCCCAACTTAGCCACCAAAAAATAAACAGAAGTTCCATGAAAAATATAACATAATTTAGAAAGCAGAAAGGATTATAGCAGCATGTAAAACATGTCGGGGACAGTACCTACTAAAAGAAATTTATCTCAAAAGTAAAAGACAAAAAGGTACTCTAAAGAACAAAAATAGGAGCATTAAAGTGCACTCACGTGTCTCCAGTAATAGCTGCTTTGTGAGCATCACTTCCTTTGCCTCCTAGCGCACCTGTCTCAATGAACTTCTTTGCATTATCCCAAGCTCCACCAGCAGTGTTAAGGAAAAGAGCCATGAGAATTCCAGATACTGTGGCAAACATAAGCATGGCAGCCACAACTTTGGCCCCCAATAGAGGATGCCCAGTGTACTGTCCCAATAATCGAAACAGAAAACCTGCAAGCAAAAAAATAATGTAAGTTACATCAAATACATATACACCTACAGGAGAAAACAATATTTTATTTGATCCCAATAAGGGGACCACAGTCTACACATCATATGAGTCGAAAAATGATTTTAGTTAGAACTTTCTGCATGTCAAAGGGAGCTTCAATAATTGATTTCTACTAAACCACATATTTACTGGCGTTTTAAATCACTTATAGGTGATGTCTTTCTACTGAGCAATTTAGCGTGCCATTTCCAAACAAGCTTTAGTGCACTTCCAAACGATGAAATTCCATGAAATAATCACAGTTGTACATGATAAGTTATTTGGCACAATAGTCAGTAAATTTGAGCAAAAACCAATAAAAAATGAGTAAATCCTGCACAATATGAATCAGGAATATATGAGGAAAGGAACTCTTCCAAAAAATAAATGAACATATGCACGAAGTTGCATATATAGATCAAGACCACATCAGATACAGATCTAAACAACAGCAACAAAATTGACAAGAACTAGGCAGGAACTCATGGACCTTTATTTATTTTTTGATAAAGTCAACCTTAACTCATGGACCTTTATTGCCAGAAAAATAAATAAATCTGTAACCATTACAGCTTTTATTTCCATTTTGGATGATTTTTTTTATGGACCTTTATTGCCAGAAAAAAGAAATCCAAAATGGAGATGAAAGCTATAATTTACAGTGATATTGCCCTCTTGGCAGCAACCATTACATAGAAGCAGAAGTTCATATTACTAAGAAACTGAAACTACAGTTAGTAATCTAAACCAATGCATGTAATGATCAATTCCTATGGCTGATGACCTTTGGACGAACCACCTGGGGCACTAATTAAGAATAGTCCACATTCAATTGATTGAAGCACTGAACAGAAACATAATCACATGCATGATACTCCCTTAACAGCGTAGAGTACTCACCAACTACAATGGGAGATATAATGGCCAAAGCACCAGGTTTTATCATCTCCCTCAGAGATGCAGAAGCTACAATGGCGACACAACGGGCATAGTCAGGTTTCTCTTGATAATCCTGCAGCAGCAATTTGCATAAATCAATTTCAGCAACAATCAGGAGAAGGTAAAAAAATCAGTAATATTCACAGTTTCATGGAAAATGGAAAAATGGAGGTATTAGACTTACCATTATACCCGGCCTCTCAATAAATTGCCTCCTAACCTCATTGACTACTTCTTGGGCAGTTCGACCAACAGCTGAACAAGCCCATGCACTGAATAAAAAGATAAGCATGGAGCCCAACAGGCCTCCAACGAAGACTTCTGGGATTGCAATATCAACCTATAGAGGTGATCCGAAATGGTAGCTTGGTAAAAATAGGAAAATAACAAAAGGCTTGCAAATTTTTAAACAAACAATAGTAGGAGCTGATGATGCAGCTATGATGCACACATGTGGCAATGGATATGATTATGATATCAAGATCAATCTTTTTGTTGACTTAACATTTTTTATAGAGGTACACATACAGGATTAATTTCCATATGTGATGCATCAGCAGTAAAGGATGACAAAAAGAAAAGGAGACGTCCGCATAAAAGTAAATAATTTGCATGTAACATGCCTGTTTGAAAGGTGTATGCGCAAAAGAAGCTACTTCATCCATATATGCGCTAAACAGAAGGAAAGAAGCGAGAGCGGCAGATCCAATCGCAAAGCCTTTAGTGGTAGCTTTTGTCGTATTCCCGACAGCATCCAGTACATCTGTAATTTCCCGAACACTTTCAGGCTGCAAAGTGTGCATTCATGAGATGACAACATGGCAGACTTATAAAACTCATACAAGCAACAAAAACCTAATTGGCCAATAAGTGAAAAGATTTGAATCCAACAATTCCACAGAAGCACTAGTACGAACTCCAAAGAAAATGACGTAAAAAACAATCAATGAGATCTCATTTAGCTACATACAAACTCGTAAAATTTTCTGAAACTTACCTGCTGACTCATTTCAACAATTCCACCAGCATTGTCAGCAATTGGACCAAACATATCCATTGTCAAAACATAAGCAGCAGTGCTCAACATTCCCATAGTGGCAACAGCTGTTCCAAACAGGCCACCAGTCGGAGCTCCACTTTCATCCACCAGGCCAGAAGTATGGCCCAGCCAAAAAGCTGATATTATGGACACACTAATAACAAGGACTGGAAGGGCTGTTGATTCTAGACCCAAACTCACTCCAGCAATTATATTAGTTCCATGCCCAGTTGAACTTGAAAGAGCCAGCATTCGTACTGGTTCATGCTTGTAATCAGTATAATATTTGGTGATCCATACAAAAACATAAGCAGTGATGATTCCCACAAGACCGCACAAGGCAAAGTTTAACCATGCTGAAGGTGCTTGTTCGGTATACAGCAACCAACGAGTCGACTGTTTGCAACATCCAAATAGAAAATTGAAAAAAAAAAAAAAAAAAAATGAAAAAGAAAAAGAAAAAAGAAACTCAGCTTGAATAAGAGACGCGACAAATATCCACTAAAATTGTTAAGGGGCTAATTTGGCCACCATACGTTTTAGATATCCACCCAAAACATTCGTAGAAATTATGTGGCGCAGTCCAAATCAATTATGGCCATGTTTTGGGGCAGGACAATCAACACTAGATGCATTACCAGAACCATGGGTAGCCAAACTAGCCCTAAAACTTTATAGTATCAAGACAATTAGAACAGTACAAGATTTGGTCAAACAATGTGCGCCACAAGTAGCATTACCGCAGCAAATGTTATAACAGCCAAAACTATTGTAAGAGAGTATCCTTTTTGGAGTATTGCCATTGGATCCTCCATTGGTGTCTTAACACTTGCATCACGTGTACTTCTAATAGAAAGTATGCCCACTGATGAGACAACAAGGTCAAACGAATGAACCACGAGCGGAAAGAGAATAAATCCAGATGGATCTGCAGATATGTAACAAAAGACAAGGGAGCACTTGAGCCATGTAAAACTATAATTTAAGAGCAAATGGAACCGAAAGAGAACAAATAAAGAGAGGAGAGATTAAAAAAAAGAACTCACAAGGAAATTTAAGACAATAAGAATATGAGGGTAGAACAAGAATAGTATAAAGGGATAAATTAGTTTTCTGTTACTAAAAGAGATAAGAAAGTCCCTTGCCAAAACGAGCAATAAGCTGATCCAACAAATATGGACATGCTAGCTCATCAATCTCAAAAAACGCCAAAATCCACATTACAATGGACTGTGTTTTACGATCTCTAATCCTGATATCCTAACTAAAATAGAAATTTGGAGTTTTTTATGCTCTCAACCTCATTGTGGCCAACTTAAATCATAGCACATATCCCTGGTCACAAGAAGCTCAGAAATGGGAGGCATAGCACAAACCCCCACCCCCTCTAACACCATTTAGAGAAAAAAAGAAAAAAGGAAAGAACCTCAAACAACAATCCCAAAAAATTTCCTCGCAGAAATCCTACTCCTTGTAGAGATTCTCACCAATAACTTTTACATACGAGAACAAAAGTTTACTTTTAGGCAAAACTATCATGTTATGGGCTTTCAAAACCTTTTCCCAAAAGCTTTCAAGGATCACTCATGAAAGCTGCACAAGAAAAGCACAATTTTCCTTGTTTTCATTTAGCTCCCAACTAGCCACTCACCCCAACCCCTCCTTAAGACAGTAACCACTGGCAAAAATGTATCCTGCCCCTCCCAACCACGTGCCCTAGCCCTCTTTCTCTGATTACTCTGTCTCTAGGCTATCAAAGCATTACAGGAAACACAGCAGTGATACGAGAAGGATAATCACGACAAAGTAAACTTGCTATGGTATAATTTTTCCCAAGTCTCAACAAAGCATGGGGAATAGGAAAACATACACAGAGCGGAACTCCAAAAGCTTATTGGAATTTCAATACAAAGCTTGTGTTTACCTTCAATCTTACACCGCTTAGCCATTGTCCCCCCAAGTATCATGGCACTAATTACTTCTGCAGCAATACTTTCAAAAAGATCAGCTCCGCGGGCTGCACAGTCACCTACATTGTCTCCAACCTTCATGATGAGAAAACAAAAAAAAACACTCAACAAAGTTCAGGACTTGAAAGAATAGCCTAATACTAAACTGTAAAAGATATTCTGAAGCAAGATAGTGACATCTTTGCCAAAGCCTATACATAAAGGTGGCCAATTGAGTTTGAAGACCACAATTTCAATATATCAAACATTTTATTTCGGGGGTGGGCAATGGCAATTACAACGTTGTAATGATTTCTCTGTCAGAGGCATATTTTATCCAAACAACAGAGTGACACTTCTTATTTTACAGAAAATTGTTAGGAATACTAACTTTTATAATTCACAGAAGGAATGTGCCCCTTTAATCCATTTTGGCTCAAGCATCTCCTACAAAATTACAATCACCCCATACAAACATTGCGAATGGCCCAAACCCCTGAACAGTCCCCAAAGGCTTCAACAATGCAACAGCTTCAACGGCTGAAAGAAAAAAGTTAGACTAGTTAGGAATTGGGTTTGGGTCAAGACGGAAGAGGCTGGGTTTTCATAGCCTAACGTCTCAAGTTCCATTCCTATGTAACCTTGTCAAAAAAAAAAAAAGTTAGACCAGTTGACCACAAGGACTCCTGGCAAAATCAGCATAAGAAGGTTTTCCCACTAACTTTTGTAACTTTCATGTCATGTGTAGCACTAGCCTCAAACTCAATGGCCATCTTATGCAATGAAATTCAAACAGCTCCCCATCGTTTGCTATTTATACCAACCAACTCCATGGACTACCACATTTCATGTTCGGTGAAATCATTATTCCCTAAGGCCCCCATCAACAAGACAAATGGCTTGAACTCGTAAGCTTAAACACCCCATGATGGCAACCCAAGACAACTCCACCAGGCATGACCAATGATCCCTTCATCCCTTTCACATAACTTCCATTCTGATCCACAGGCTTGCACTGTCACTGCACTATGTCTGCTTGAGCCCTCCACCCTTAGCGAATAAGGAAAAGAATAAAGCTCCACTTATTCCAGCAGAGTCTGGATTCATTCTACTATCATTTGTTTTATGTATTAACACGGAATTATAAGCAGGGTTTGAATGGAAGCTCTAGTTTCCTTTAGGGTTAAGCTCGATAAAAGACAATTATCTCTAGTGACTTGTTCAATAACGCAAAATACGATGATTTGATTAGGTGGTCTGATTGGGGAAATAATTTTATATCTAAGCTAATATCCATGAGCAAGACATCTCATAGAACACCAGAGAGAATAAGTTAAGGATTAAAAGTAAAATAAGTATTAAAGAATTTAGCATAGATCTTCACTCAATCCTACAAATGGGGAAGGCAAACAGGAGCACAAACCAGATCTGCGATGACAGCTGGATTGCGTGGATCATCTTCTGGAATTCCCTGCTCAACTTTTCCAACAAGATCAGCACCCACATCTGCTGCCTTCGTGTAAATACCCCCACCAAGCTGTGCAAAGAGAGCAACAAATGATGCACCAAAACCATAGCCAACCAACAGAAGAGGCACTGCAAGCAAAGGACATGCATATTGTAAGATTCACAGCTAATACACAAACACACCAACCACAGCAAACAAAACGCTATCGAATTAAGGTGATAGCTAACTTAAGATGCTCTGGTTCTAAAGAGACCCTCACATTTGCGCGAAAGGTCATTGCCTCATTTGTTTAACAGAGCAATTAACAATGCCACAAAGCCCCAGCCAACCAACAAGAGGCACTGCAAGAGGAGCTAGAATGGTTTGTTGGACCACAAATTCCGCACACATGTAGATCTCATCTAAACGATCTACATAAAATATAACAAATAAAAAAATTCAATTACCAAAAGAAAAAGGGGAAATTGAGTCGACCACTTTCTGTGAACATAGGCCGCCCATTTGGTGGATGATGGATCTAGGCCTTTAAGGATGGAAAATCAATTGCTTTTGAGTTGGTTATTTTTTTTAGTCAACGATGTTGTGCAAATTTTCACGTCCAAAACAAAATCCTTTTGGCTATGAGTTTCACACTGTAGCTTAAACCCATTGGCAGAGTGAGTGTGTGTGTGTGTGTGTTTGAAGGTTAAGAGGACATCTATATATTAAGCAGTGAGTTTCACAAACAATACTATTAGACAAGCATAGGCAACCCAAATTAATTGATAGGTTTAAGTCAATTTAGCAACCGAGGTGAAACTGATCTTGCAGTCTAAGTAAGGAAAGGTTCACGGAGGTGAGAAAGCATCCACAGGGACTATAGGCATCATAGATTCAGCACACACAAGGTAGGTCTAGTGGCCATATCAGTTCATTATGCCCTTTCAATGCCCTCTTCCTGTCAAATGTGGTCTCTTGCTATGATCATACAGGCTAAAAGGATATCTCCAAGTACCTGGAGCATAGCATGTATATGAGAAGTGATCCTTGTTATGGTTTGATCTTTGGAGATATCTTTTTACATAAGGAAGTAAGTAATTTCAGAGCTTCCTTACCTCAGAATGGGGTACCCATGCAGTTAGTCTTTCCTAGAATGGTTTTTTTCATAGTTGTTTTACCATGAATTTGCCTTTCCATACTATAAAACATATAAGTTGATTATTCAAAGCAAGCACATTATAGCTGGTGAAATTAATGGTTGCAATGAGAGAACAAGATTTCTTTTTGGTGAAAGAACTTTTACTGCATGAAGGAGCTGATACTCACACTCCGTCACTTTCATTGAACCTGGAGAATCTACCCCTAGACAGACATAGAATGTTGCATAAAGTATTGCCACTCCTATTACAGCCATTCCCACAACAACAATGGATGAGAGACCACCAGCACGCACAGCAATCTGCATGCAAAGGCCAACTATAAGGAAAGTTGAGAAAAATGTATTACTCACAAACAGAGATTATTGTGAAAATAGGAACCTGCAATGCTTCTCTCGCAGATCGTCTAGCAGCACTGGAAACCCGAACATTTGCCCTCACAGAAACCCACATTCCCACATATCCTGCAACACCTGAACATAGGGCTCCAAGTAGAAATGCTGCCACTGTAACATATGCAGATGTGGACCTACAGCAGCACATGGCATGTCATATAAATCAGCATACAATAATAGAAAATCTTTTCATCGTTAGTAAAGAAAAAATCCAAATTAACGAAAACAAAATCAGGCAATAAAAAGTAGAACATAAAAGCTACTCAACCAGCAAATGACCTTCCAAGTCCAGATGTTTCTTGCTGGGGTGTGGTACTGCGGAAAAAATATATACAAAGGATCGCCACAGCAAGTATGCATGCCATCTTGGAAATGGTACCATATTGAGTCCTCAAAAATCCTTCTGCCCCATCTCGAATTGCATCAGAGATCTAGCAAATGAATGGAAAATGAGATTATGTGCATAGGTTTGTATAAAACCAATATGTAGTCGTGATTTGTAAAGCAATATGCAATTTGTGAATGAATTTCTATATCTCTATCACACATTTCCATATAATTCAAAAATAGACAAGAGAAGTCGCCTTTCAAAAACCAAGTCACAACTAGATCCAAACTAGTATGGAACCTCATTAATGCATCTAAAAAATATGATAAATTTATAATGCTATGTCCACTCAAAAGTTCATAGACACCAAAATTCTTCTCCATGATTTAACATGTTAGGAGTAACAAAGACTCAGATTTCAATTCAACCGGTGCATCCTTAAAGTATTATGCATCAAACATTTTCCATGGTTTACTGAAAACAGCAGATGATATCGTAATTCAAAGTAGGCTAAACACACAACTAAGAAATAGGTTAAAAAATCAAAAAATAACAACAAATGATGGCCTCTATTACCCAAAAAAAACAAAAGGGCGCAAGTTGTGTAAACAGAATTTTTCTTACTTGATTATCTTCTTTTATGATAACACAAGATACAATATAACAATGACTATCGATCGAGTATATTATAGACTAATAAAAGCATAAAAGATAATGTTTGACCAGAGCACCTATAACTTACAAGGCATACAGAATTACCTGAACCATTTCTGGGGGTCCTTCATCCTTCATAAGAACCCATTTGGCGAGATAAATGGAAAACAAGAAGCTGATGATGCAGATCGCAAAGACAAACAAAATAATTGGCGAGGTACTTGCTCCAACATAAAACACAGCTCCGAAGCAAAAGAGCAAGAGTACAAATAAAACTCGAACATTTATTCCCATAAAAATCCGGAAAATCTGCAAATATATATAAAAAAATTAATGCATCATTGTATTCTACAGCAATGTAACCAAAGGTCAGCGAAGAACAATGTAAATAACTATGAAACAATATTTTTGGTCCAATTTACAACACAAGTATACCATGCTTGACAATACTCAACTTAATCGTTTTGTAGTCTAATTCTGAATTTCATACAAGTCCAAATAGCATGTTCTAGATTAGGATATATAACAGAGCAATTTCCTCCTGGACATGCTAGTGGCATCGTATCTTTTACGAGCCTCAAATTTTTCTAATACATGATTCTGACCAGAATTGATGCCATGCTTTCAGTTATTAGTAAAAAGAAAGGTGTCATGAAGAAGCACAAAATAAGCCTGAGAAGAGAGCAATTCTCTTTCAAGGATGAAGCTTCTTTCACAAGGTAAAACCTCAGGCCCAAAAATTTCCAGCTCTATTATCCCAATCTCATTCTTGATTCCACCTACAACATGTATCACACTCTTTTCTAAAACACAATGTAATATCGTTTATCGAATTCTAACAGCAGCTCAAAGAGGAACCCTCAACCATCCAAAATGGGAGGCCTGACGAGAGACAACATTGGCAAATGTGTCATAGACCATGAGATCTAAAGATTTTTCGTGACTGGCAGGATGAAGTAATCCTTTCTTCTATCCACTGTCTCTTGGGGTTCACTCATTGCGGATGGCAACTCACTTGGAGTCATTAGCCAGGTCTATGGACAGGAGTACCTTAGAGAACAGAAAATCCTGTATAGGAGGTATTCAAGAAAAGGGAAGGGGTATCCACCACCTTTACCTATGTGAATTTTTCTTTGACAATACCTGCATCCCTGTGCTTAAAGACACAATTCCTGAACAAAGCACTGGATCAGGAGGGAAACCATGGGGACTCTCATTCAAATAGGTATCATTCTCTATTCCTAATAACCCTTATAGATGAGTTGTTTTTGTGGGTTATGTCCTTTAGCTTGCAACCCAATTCAACTCCAAAGGGACAGTAACTTCTTTTCATTAGAAGTTATAAGAAAGAGTAGGTCAAGAACACAAGCATGTTCTAGGAAAGTGACTTCTCTTTTACAAAAAGTGGTAGGGAACAATTCGCCAAGACGAGACACAAAAGGATGCTATCAGAAAAGCAATCACAGTACTGGCGTTTAGTCACCATGTTAATCAGAATTCTAAATGTGATCAAGTGTACACTTATGCCTGTCAACAACTTCTTTGACATAATAAACAAGCGATCAGTCAACTTTGCTGAAAAAAAAAAACAAGAAATTCAAACGGCGACCCACATTAGAGAATCATGCAAATCAACAGAACAACCATCACTACCTCAGTAAAGTTCAAGGACAAAGAAGACAATAGAGCATGTCTTCTTTTCTTTTCTTTTTCTTTTTCTTTTTTTACAATAGATCATGTATTCAAGATGCATAAAAAATCAAAAAGATTATAATAAACACCCAATAACTATATATGCAAAAACAATAACTTAAGTAGTAGACTAAAACACAGCACAAGACGTTGTGGACATTTCAAACTTTACCAATGGTGTATATGTTTTACTCCGCATGGTTGGAAAAGTCCTCGGCCTATCCTGGTAGGCCGCCAGATTTCCCTCCTCCATGCTGTCATCCATCATGACTGCATGTGAGGAATTCACTCTCCGGGCAACAGGGAAGGAACCGTAATCGCCACTGCTGCCTTGCAGCAAATCACCCCCTGAACTTGGTCGCTGAATTTTGAACGCTCCTGTTTCAGACATGACATAGCAGTTAAAGCACTCAAACCCAACTAGACAACCAGATCATCAACCTTAGTACTTAAAATGACAAACCTTCTCTTTCACTTGCCAGACTTACAGCTCCTGAGAAAAGAGTGAACAAGAATGATTCCTTCGTTTACAGCAATTTTTCTCTCCCTGACTACGCATTAAAAAGAGCTTAAAACCACTCCAATTTAGTAAAAATTAGGTACAAAGGAAAAACACTTCAGCAGTTCAGAACCCCATCGAGAAAAAAAAAAATGCAAAACCCAAGATCAATCGTAAGTAAAAAAAAAAAGAGAAGCAAATGCCTACAATAAAATCAAGGCCAGTTTAGATCTGGTAAAAGCTCGTTCTGCTTTTGCCATGAAAAGGACATTAAGAACTACACAATCAATAGACACACTAAATGTGATGACAGAACACATAAGTTACCATTAAAAAACATTAAATATGAAGATGGTACACAATTAAACATGGCAGAAAGGGAAGGAATTTTTTAAAAAATATTATAATTAAATAGGGCTGGAAAAAACAGGAAGAACACAATCTAGTACACACATACTAAGGGTCCCAGAACTCCCATGAATTCCATAGAACAGAGCATGCAGTTCATGCCAAAAAATACAGATGCCCATTAGGTCGCTATGCATTAGAAAGCAACAAACCAAAGCACTAAGCACCAGAATAAAAGCGAGTTATTTTCTTCCACTTTTTTGAAGTGATTTTCTTTCTTTTTTGCTGCACATCCAAGGAACACATTGACTTTAACATATGGACAAACTTAATTCGCAAATATAACTCTAAATCAATTATGAGAAAAACAAACCCAAAATCTTGTTATTCAGCAAAGCCTCGTAAAATAAAAAATAAAAAAATTGAAAAACACAACATATAAGGGTTTGAATGAAAAAAAACGTTCACACAAGGAATCAGCATAATGTCAAACTTAGCTCAGCCATATTACAACACCAACAAAAAGAACTCCAAAAGGCTAGGACCTACGAGGAAAAGCATAAATGCTACAAATAAATAAATAACTACATAAAAGTTACCAAATATCGAAAACATAACAAAATTCACGAAAAGGATACAAAAAATTAAGCCAGAAATTATACATATGTCAAGAGACAATACCTCAAATTGACCTTTGGCATGCATATCACATCTTAACACATGCATTGCGGTAGAAATTGAGATAAATAAAAGCTATAATCTGATAAAACTTCAACACGAAGCTTATCAAATGAGCTTAAACGCATAACAAAAAGTAATTCTCACCAGCTAAACCTACCATTCTCAGCCCGATCCTCTAATATTTTGCAGGCATTCAGAAACGGCAGAATTCAAAGTAGCTCAACCATCAAAGGCCATTAAAACCATTCCTAACATTACCAAATCACATATACCACAGTACATCCTAGTTCATAAACCCTAGCAATCAAACTTAACGCAATAATTCACAAATAAGGCCTTCACGATCTACACAAAAACAACGATTCCTCCATTTCTAGCAATAAGGAACACAACGGAAAACGCATTCTTCCTCAGAGAATCAATACTAAACCCTAATTTTTCCATTAAGAGTAAGTGAAAAGAAATCGTAACCCTATATTTTGAGCAAATGAGTGTACGGACCTCGCGCGTCAGAAACCAGGGTACGCATCAACCTGCATTTCTTCAGGCCAAAAATAAACCCGCAATTAAAAGGAACGCACGCGGAAAAACAAGTGGGAAAAAGACTAAAACCCCCCTAATGTTTTGTTTAAGTACCGAAATTAGCTCTCATGCTTAAGTGGTTAAAAAATGGGCATTTTGCCCAGTCATGAGGATGGGAAGATGGTGGATAATAACGGCCGTTATTTATAAAGGTCTCTATAGCCATACAATTGCCATCAGTGTTCAAAAACTTGGGCGCCTCAACCCTGCCTTAAAAAATTTTATTTTATATAATGATAAATATATAATTTTATAGGTTTAAAAATGATGAGGAACTTATACTTTTTTATTAACGCAAACAGGAAGTGAGTCGTATTGGATAGGCAAACTCAAATAAAGAAAGTGAGTTGTATTGAGTAGGCAACCAACATAAAAATTTTCAAATTTTTTATAAATCTTAAATCTAATTTATCTGTATAATGAATATATAATATTATTATTTTTATCTTTTTATAATACATTTATATAGAGTTAGGCCTTGCACACCCTTCTGACCGACGCCTGCTCAAAACCAAATTTTGAGCCCATGCCAGTTCTAGCCCTACCAAACACAACCAGTTGAGCTCAAGCCAAGTCTGGCCTAGCCCAATCGATTCTCAATGGCAGCCTTGTGCCCTATGTGACTTGGGCCTAGGACCCTAACCCAAGACCTTGCTTTAAAACATTAACTGCCACTATTTGAAATATACAATCCATTATTTGCATTATTTTAGATACCCCGTTATCAGTAAATCACGTAACACGCTTTGCTTTGTCTTTTAAGTACACTTGTTTCTACCGGACTGCTGTACTTTTAAGCTATATTTATTTGAAAATAGGAGTGGTGTAATAGTGACATTTAGGAAAACTGGGGTGTTATCAGTAATTTGGGCAGAAGTTTGGGGTATTGTTGGTGACTTTGAAATGTCAACAGAAATGGAATAGTGAAATTGACTCCTGATTCACTCCCAAAATGGTAACGGCAATAGAGTTAAAATGATGCTCTGTCTCTTCATTCCTTTCCCAAAAAGCCCATAATTAGTCTTCTGAATAACGTAACGGCCCATGACTTTTTCCATACCCTAAAATGCTCCTTCGAGTATGCCATCGGGTGTGAAATCGTTTGGCATTTTATGGGCATGGTTGGTTTTGGGAAAATGTTTTTTAGAAAATAGGTTTACGTGAAAAAATTCTTGCAGGAGGTCAAGTGCAGAAATATTTTTATATTAATTAATTATTTGTTAGTGTGATTTTATACCAATCGATATAAAAACATTTCTACACTTAACCGCATGAAATAATTTGTTCATGTGCAACTATTTTTTAAAAAACATTTTCACGCAAACCCAATGTACCACACAAATAGTATGGTAAAGTCAAACTTAATCGTACCAAACATATTAGATTTAAATATAAAAATTAAAAAAGAATAACTTGAAAATATGAAATATGTTATAAGATAAGATTAATTAGCTTGAATGACTTGAAAGATGAAATACGTTAGAAGGTAAAATTATTTAACCTTATTTAGTTTATCTAACTAATAAAAAATTGACTGCATACAATGAGATCATTTTTCTTTATTACAAGGATGTCACAGTTACTTGTAGCCATTAGATGTCAAATTGGATGGATTGGGGTGAGTCATATAGTTCGAAACAATTTCTTTTAAACTTTGAGTCAAGTCAATGACACTCTTACAACCACCTAACTTTAAATTTGTCTTACGATACTGATTGTGACTTATTTATATAAAAATAAATGGCTGCTTTATATATTTTTCTAATAAAAATAATCAATATTATCAACTAGCCAAAAATCATTCAAATTTTGATGTTGACTAGTTTTCAACAAAATTTAATTTATGCGTTTCACTGATATATCCAAAGCGTTGATCACCAATCCAACTAGTTGGACTTACTGGTGTAGTCCAATCTGGATAATACTAGTGTATATCCTTAATGACCACATGATTGTATATTATGATATTATTTACCATTGTTACAAAAAAGTCATAAATCACCTGTAATTATTAATGACAAATTAGATGGCTTAAGAGATGACTTGAAGTCCCATAAAAAAAATTTAACATCAATTTTATTCACTGGCATTACTTACAACCATCCATTTTAAAAAGTAGATAGATAATAATAATTGTTACCTTCGTATATTAAAAATAAATGGTTCCTTTGTATATTTTTTCAATAACCATCATGCCTCCAATTTGTCATGTCAAGCTACTATACACCTATTGATGGAAGCTTAATGTTTAGAGTGGTGGGGCCCTCTCTGGTGACTCAATGTTTGGATCTTGACCATTTAAAGGGACCCACTCACACAATTGTTGAAGGTTCATTATCTATTCAACTCGAATATTTTCATTTTGACTTGGTTAGGGGTGGGTGCTTGTATCGTTGGTTGGGCATATGTTGTCTCTTTTTTAAAATTATAAACATCCATTCACAGTTTTATAATTATTTTTGGGGCAAAGTGGTAAAGGCTATATCGTAAATTTTGGAGGTAAAAGTAGCACTGTAATCAAAAGATGTGCAAATTGATCATTTTGATCTTGGCAATTATAGATCTAAAAAAAAAAAACAAGTTTTATTTAAATTCTACAGTATAGAGTGGAAATGGATTTGAAAGCCATCAAGAAGTTTTCCCGTGCTAAAACTATCTTTTCAAACGGGGCTTTAAGGTGCGTTTTACCAAATTTCATAGAGCCTTACAAAAACCCACGTCATTTCTTTGTTTTTTTTTCTTTTTCTTGTTTTTTTTAAGTTTAGATTCAATGAAAAAGTCAAAATACAAAAAATGGATGGAGACCAAACTTGGAACAAGTATTGGTTGCTTAGTGCCATGGACTAGCATGGAAAGCATGCGTGCTCCCACAACGGCCTCTCCCATAGTATAGGCGTCCTCTTAAGATTAGTACTCTTTCGTAGGAGAATGCCATACATACTATTTTGAGTTTTCAAGAGAAAAACACATATCATGGGAATGATCTCTTGAATTGATAGGTAAAGACATTTTTGTTTTTAGTACATGAAATTTTAGTATTTTCATTTTATTTTGTTTAAAGGGTAATTTACTCAAGGTTGCAGTTTGTATAGAGCCTAGGCTCTAAAAAATCAAATTAGAGCCTACTTCCAAATAGTGTTGAGACATGTGGTTTCAATACTTAAAATCTTTGTGATAGCCTTAAAATATATTTTCATTTTTAGTTATAAAGTTTAAAGTTTCAAAAATAGTGTAGATTGACATATCTATGAAAACTTGAAAATCTTGAAAATTGACTGTCCAAAAACATGTTACAAAATACATTATTTTTAAAACTTGAAATCCATTTTTTTCTCATATCCATACATCTTGATGTCAAGATGATCAATTTTAGGATATTTAATCAAAACAACCTCTTGTGGTGAATTTTTTTTGCATGCTCCAATTTGATTGTTTAGAACCTCGGCTCTATATAAAATTTTCCCTTTATTCAAATATGGGTGCGGTTCGTATAGAGCCTAGGAGCCTACCTTCAAATAGTGTCAAGAAATGTGGTTTCATTATTGGAAATCTTTTTGATAGCCATAAATTATATTTTCATATCTATTTATAAAGTTCAAAGCTTAAAAAATAGTGTAGATCGACAGATCTATGAAAACTTGAAAATCTTGAAAATTGATGGTCTAAAAATACGTTACAAAATGCACTATTTTCAAAACTTGAAATTCATTTTTCTTTCATGTCTATGCGTATTGATGTCGAGATTACCAATTTGAAGATATTTGGGCATCAAAACAACCTCTGATAGTGAACTTTTTGAGATAGGCTCAAATTTGATTGTTTAGAGCCTGAGCTCTATATAAACTTTTCCTTTCAAATATTCATGAGAGATGAACTATTTAACATTCTACTAATAGGTTTAATTTCAAAGCAATCATTCAGAGATGAAAAATGATTTGATAAGGCTGCAACTCCCGTCAAAACAAACAAAGCCTCACCTCATAACTCATGCAATTCAAGCATTAGAAACATTTACATCGATCATCTTAGCTTGAATATTTTGGTTGTAAAGAAAAATAGAATGCCAAGCTCTAAAAACAATGTATATTGTAGCAAATTATCTAGATCTTCCATTTTCCCCTAAAAATAAGTGTTCATTGATACGCAATATTTGTACCTTTTTTGAGCTTCAAATTTTATTGTCGGTGTAGAAAATTGATTTTAGAGTCATCATGAAGATTTTTGTTGCTGAAAGTGCTTTCCAAATGAGAATTTGAGGTGAGGATTTATTTTATTTCATAAAGCCTAGGCTTATAAAACGGCATCCTTTTTAAGATGGGTGTGGTTTGTATAGAGCCGAGGCTCTAAGCAATCAAAGCAAAGCTCACCTTCAAATAGTATCGAGAAATATGGTTTCAACACTGGAAATCTTTGTGATAGCATTAAAATATATTTTGAAGCTTAAAAAATAATGTAGATCGAGCACATCTATGAAAACTTGAAAATCGACGGTATAAAAATACGTACAAGATGTGCTATTTCCAAAACTTGAAATCTATTTTTTCTCATGTCCATACATCTTGATTTCGAGATGATCAATTCGACAATTATTTAGGCATCTAAACAACCTCTTTTAGTGAAATTTTTGAGGTGAACTCAATTTGATTGTTTAGAGCCTCATATCTACATATGGATAGAAATTTGAATAGTTCATCTCTGATGAGTATCTTTGTTACATTGCTCTTTCTTCATAAATATCTTCCACATTGTTTATTCAATAAGTCATCACATTTAGGTGAGATGTGGCATATTCTATTTGACATGCTAAAACCATTTTATCCTTCCCTATTTAATTTGGAATTTATTCTCTCATTTGATTATTGGTGAACCCATATCTTGCTAATGTTTTGGGTGAAATTGTTGCC